AATATTTATAATATAGACTATATCAAAAGCAATCCCACTTTATGTATAATAGTGTGTTCGTTGTTACGTTATTCGATGTCACTACTAACGTTTAGAGTTGGATGTCCCTGACTGGGATCTGAAAATGTTGGCAAGCCTGAAACTGAAAGACGGTTATTATTGGCACTTATAAGGCCTTATACTTATTGTGTTGCAAGTGCCGCAAAACTCTTACTAAAAGTAAAAGTAAAAAAACAACAACAAAAACAACAACAGCATTACAACAAAAACAACTCCCAACCCTCACCCCCCAAAAAAATCCCAAGCAAACACGCCCCCCCCCCAAAAAAAAACACAACAACAACAAAGGGGAAAAAAAAACGATTATCGGTATTAGTAGTACCAGGGAAGGGTAAACATCGCCGTTTGGATTACAGACGGTGCAGTTTTCGGACTGGAACCAGAAGCCCGCGCCGTATATGGCCGCACAGTTGTCCTCGTTGTCGTCGTTGTCTCGGTCAAAGGTAGAGAACTTGAGGCTGGTCCCTGGCCAGCAGTCTTCCATGAGTTTGTCTGAGGGAGTTGGACACAACACGCGAGTGTGTTTACGTTTTGGAAGAGAATAGGTGGACCCCGGAGTCTTTTTTGTTTTTGTAAGTGGTTTACAGCGCTCGCAACTACATAAGGTTATATTGAGAGCGCCGGACACATTAACATTTTCAGCTTGTAGGCAATTTTGAATTTTGCCCGGGTGGCGGCCGAAGCCTACTCTTATCGATTTTAGACCACCAAGGGATCTTTAACGTGCACAACTTGCACACGGGACCTCCGAGATTTTTCACCCTTGTCCGAGAAGGCTAGATGTAGATCTTTCCTACCAGAAGACCAGGGGTCCGGGGTCTACCTAGCAAAATATTAGGTTTTAGGATAGGTGGACCCTAGGATCTAACTGGTGAAATACTTGGCTAGGTAAACCCTGGGGTCCACCTATTCTCTTTCTTAGTTTTTAGTTTTAGTAAGATTTTTGCGGCGCTCGCAACTGAATAAGGTCATAGGAGCACCAAGGGGTGGATGTCCACAGAGAAGTCCAAACGGGGAATCAGGCTTACTCTGATCATCCCTCTAGCCTCAACAGCACAAAGTCTGCTTCGACTATCAAAGCACCCCAGAATTAGTTCATAAGAGAGTGACAAACATACAAAATAAGTAGAAGAAAAATGACGATAGTAAGGATGAGGACAGAAAAAACAGCAGTTCACCCTATGTTGTTCCAGCACAGTATGAGCATGACATTGGTAAACCAGCCCTTTTACAATTCTACTGTGTATAAGAACGTGTTAATATCCCCCTTTTGGGAAGACAATTTCAGTCAGTAGTACTGCCCG